TATACTATTATCAGTTCTTAGATTGGAAGGTCGATTTAAGTGATTTTTCTAACAAGTGCTCCTAAAGGTAAGTCTTAAGTTGAAAACAACCAATAACTATTCTTAAAGAAAAATATTAATTCTAAAGATAAACCTTTCTGAATGAGTTGAATTGGAGAATTTTGAGATGTTAAAAACTATTATTCTTATGTAGTGTATTAGATGATGTATAGGAATGAGATACATTAAATATTGTATGTGTCAAATATGAGCAATCATATTATTTGACATTTGTTGAGTGCATAAAGAACATTGGCTAATCAAAGTTTTATCCTTAAATCTGTGGCTGAGAGCACACTAGCACCCACTCCAGAGCCCTCACTTCTCCCTCCCTTAAGGGCTAACATCTCGCTTTGGTTTCCAAACAACTAGACCAAATTGAGGATTTTAGTCTGTCACCCTAAAATCTCCAATTCTACGCTCATCAAAGTATATTTCTCTATTTATTTGCACTCAACCCCATAGACTACATTCTCATCCATGAAATCAAATATGGTTCCACTTTGTTGAGAGTTACACTACCTTCTCGGATCTTAATGCAATTACAACGAATTTTAACATTACAACCCTTATTGTAATGTAAATAAAGTTTAAGTAAAAATCATCACATTTATAATTAAAACCTCTTCAAACAGGCATCTCAAAATCCTAGACATGAATACTCATTACAAAAAAAAGTAATATGAAAATAATGACATAATCTTCTCACGCCACTAATTTCAAACAAGAAGAAAGAGTAAGAAAAAAAACCACTCACAGAGCACGAAAAAAACATAAAGGAAAACTTCATTGCATCAAAGAAAATCCACTAAATAAGTGTTTACAAAATCATAAGATAATGAAGAACACAATAATTAGCTTTTTTTTCTTTGAAAGAAAGATGAAGATCTCTCCCACAAAGTCTCCCATTGAACCAAGCAATGTTAGTACAAATCTTTAGAGATTCTCTCAAAATTTCCTCTCCAATCTCTCCAGAAAAGGTAGAAATCTACATTTTTACTCCTATTATAAGATCTCTAAGAATTCCTCTCATTTTTTCCTGAAGTACACACCCACCCACACACACACACACACACACACTATGAGAGGCGCCAACCCCCCTATTTAAAGAGACACAAAATTCCTTCTTTTTTTCTCGAAAGACACATCTTTTCATTTCAAGATACAAATCTCTTCATCCAAGAGACATATCTCTTCATTCAAGAGTCTTTCCCAAGTGTCTAGATTTATTGAACCACTCCATGGGGCATTTGATTTACTTAAAGCCTTCTAGAACATCTCAAAATCGTTAAAAACCACCAAAAATCCATCCATAACCGTCTCTAGTGCCTCTAGCGCCAATTTTGGCACCTGTTCTCTGGAGTTTGGCACTTTTGGCTCCATTTTGGTGCCTCTTCTCTGTAATTTAGAGCCTCTGGAGCCAGTTCTGGTGCCACTGGTCCCACCCTATAGTAGCTCCATCGTTTTGCTTCATTTTGCTCTATTTCAACTTCATTTCGCCCCGTTTCAATTGTGTTTCGCTCC